GAGGGGGAGGGGGGGGAGGGGGGGAAGGCCATGAATGCTGACGTATGAATAGGGCTTAGGGCTTCGCTTCTTTTAACATGGGTTATATAGGCTGTAGATAGGCAGTATGTAGGGCTTAGGGCTTGGGATTTTCAACCACAGGGGTTGCACAGTGCTTCGGGTCTCGGACTTGGGTTACAAGAACCCTCAAAGATAAGAGCGTGTTATAGTCGCGTGAAAGTAACAAGGCCCCAAGGTTCAGGGTTTAGGGTTACCAAATTCCCCTCGGTACACAAGAAAAAAGCTCCAGGGGCTTACGCAGGGGTGTGTGTATTTTCTCTCACCCTGTTTATCTACTTATCTATACACATCTATCTCCACAAGCTCCAGATCCCAAACCGTGTGGCTATCTAACTACTGTAATGCTATCTAGGAAGTTATCATCCGTCTACCATGTCCACAAGATGAGGTTTAAGACGATTCCTCTTCAGGAGGTTGGAACGATTGAGAAAAAAAAACTCCAGAGTGACATGAAAAAAAGGAGATTTTGGAAATCCTAACAACCAACATTTGGACCTCATAGCTATCATGCGGCTATGAAGAGGTCCTAACTCTGGGGTTGGGGTTGCCAAGTTCACAAAAAAAAACCGACAACTTAGACTTCAAACCTAAACACTAAAATCCTACAAGCCCTCAATCCTGACCCCAAAACCCTTTTTACCATATGTGTGCTACTACTTACCCCCCTTCTGTACCCTATATACCCTCTGTACCCGACTCAAAGAATCCATGCATCTCTGTGGGGGCCAAGTAACCATATTGGAATCCCTGTGCGGATGGTATTTCCTGCCTTCAAACCTACCCCAAAATCTTGAACCCTATGCTATCTATGCACTAAATAACTACATAGAATCTTTGGGACCTATATGCCCTACCCGTCAGCCCCCCCGGCCGTGGCGAAGCGACTGCTGAGCTGACTCCAGCGGTCGGTGGTCCGCTTCAAGGCCGACACAAGCTCGCCTGCAAGCTGTTAAGGCACTAAGGATATGGGCTATAGGGTAGTTTCCCAAAATAAGGGGACCCCAATATAGACCTCAAAATACTATAGTCCTTTTTATAGTGACCCCCAAAAAAGAACCCCTAATTTTGGGAAACCCTCATGTGGCCTACAAGTTCGGGCTTGAGGATGACAGGTCAGGAGGGTTGGGCTAAGGGGCCTAGGGGAAAGTTACCATTGTTTGGCCTGCGACGGGATGGCCGGTTAAGGGCGTGCATATTTGACTAAGGCTTATGTACGGTTTCCTCTTGGAATATTTCTCTGTAGTTGCCTCAGAGCTGGGGCAGGTTTGGGCTTAGGGCTTAGGATTTGTGAAATAAGGGCTCATGGTCTAGGGCTCTAATGCGCGTGGAATCCCAGTAAACCCAGCAGCGTAGCGCTTGGGGTTTCAGGGTTCCTGGTTTACGCTGTTCTGATAGCAGAAGTTTGGGGAAGGCCTAGCATCAACCCCGAACCAGAAACCCTGAAGCTCTACGCTATGTCCAATCTCGTCTGGACGGCACTCGAGGTTCTGTGTATGGGCTTCTGAAAGCAGGATTATGCCAACCGCATGTCCTACTTGAATGCAAGCCTACTATTGTGGGATAAAAATGTAAGGATTCAAGTGTTGTGCTCCAGGGTAGCGTTCCAACACAAACTTTGGAAGTGATCCGCTGCTGATTCCTTGCGGTTGCCCTTCACATCACGTACCCTGCAGCGTGGAACGTCAAAACACGTGGCTTTATCTTTTTTAAACTCTTCCGCGATCACTCGCCCAATGTGCATGTTGCAGGCCCTCAAGCTAACCCTGACCTTGAAATCCAAAACATCCGTAGAAAAATGATGGTCTGGAGCGAAGTTCTGGCTGCTGCCACTGCCCAACGGCACCTCTATTACCCCACATGCCCTCAACTGCAAACATGTTACCAGCAGTTCCAAAGATAGACGAAAACACACTGGGCTCGTGGGCACAGAAATCACAAATCATCCTGGAAAAGCTCAAGTTGCCAAAAGTGATAGGCTCCAGACTTTTCATGTCAAATGAAAACCAGTTAGGGTTTAGAGTTCTATGCTTCCAAAGAGGTTGCTTTTCAGCAACATGTGTCTAGGTGGGGTCTTTTGCAACAGGGTTGTTGATTTATCAGCACATGTTCTATCCGAAAGTGGACCTAGAAGCCCTGTAGCCACCAAGACTCCTAATCGTCAAGATTTCTTGCGCGGTGCCCATGAAGCAAAGGACAGCAAATCTCAAACAATAGACAGGCATCATCACTGCAGGTGTTTACAGCTACTAGAACAAGAACAAGATATCGTTGTACCAGCAATAGCAGTAGTAGAAAAAAACATTACGGGTACTGCTATTGCTGCGCCTTCAGTCATGTTGGCGGCTCTGGACGAAAGCACCTCTGCGTTGCGGGCCACAAACACTGAAGTGTACGGGCTATATAATGAGATTGTAAAAGTATGATGCAAGGTTAGATACTGAGTATATAGAGATGATACACCGAGGCAAGCGACATTTTACTGATGGATTTTGAGCAGCCGTTACTAGACACGCCAAGACTGCACCAAACATGACGCTGTCAAAGCTCCCAAGACCAGACCTGCTTCAAAACCATGGTTTGTAAATAGAGGGGGATGCATACATACACGTATAATAATGTATGCATGCATGCATGTACATATGTACGTACGTACGTACGTACGTATGTACGTACGTATGTTCGTACGTATGCATGCATGTAATGTAATGTATGTACGTATGCATGCATGTAATGTAATGTATGTACGTATGCATGCATGTATGTATGTATGTACGTACACATGGGGCTTAGGGCTTAAGAATGGACAGTCAAAATGACAGAGCGAGACCCAGCATCGCTCATCGCCGGCCTTGTAGAAGCTGGCTGGTCTCAGGTCCTGCACAAGCAGCCCAAGACGGGGTGCTCTTCTCGTAGAACCTTCGTGGTATATTATAGTATAAGATGGTATAACATGGTACATTATAGTACATTTAGGATCGAAGATCAAATTTATCCCCCCCTCCTAACTCAACATTCCAATCTCCTGACACTGTTTACCCATCAGCTTTCACTAAAACCTGGCCTCCTTGACACCAGGCCCTGCCCCCCAAGAAACCCCCATAGTTGTATTCTTCTCCACATTGAGGTTACCTAGAAACTTAAGCCCTAAATACTTGCAAATTCTATGAGCCCTATATAGGGGCTGCTGAAAAAGGGACCCTAGTCTTTGGAAAAATCTTAGCTGTTGAGTTCCTGGGTCGCTCAGCAGGTTTTGCCGCTCATTATGGTAGGATTCCGCATGCCACAGAAAGTTACATAGCACCTGCTCCGTTCCTAAGTCTGCTCCTAATTCTCTACTAACCCGCTGAGGCTGGAGCCCAGAATTTCATTCCAGCACTTCCCAGGCTTGAGGGCTTGGGACCCCGGCCCCCCACCGCCGGCCCTGCCGGCTCAGCCCCCCAACAGCCGAGGCGGTCTCGCGATCGCGTTTACATTACCTATACCATCGGAAATTCCCTCAACACCCTAGACCCTAAACCATGTTCCATCATGTTCCCAAAGCCCTGAGCCAATTGAGTCTGAGAAGGCTCCAGGTCCTGAAGCTCAGACTCCAGCTGCATAGTCTTCTGCCGGTGCTTGGCAGTCACCTCGTTGGCTCCAAGGCAACAAGACGGTGCGTTACAGTCACTTCAGGTTTCGGGTGGGGCGTGGGATCATTTGCTGTTAAGAGTGTAAAGATCAGGAAGATGGACATAGTGGGACCCTAAATAGTAATCGTAAGTTCATGTTGTCATGATGTGTTAGGGCTCAGGGCCCGAGAGTGTCCCTACAAGAAACCCTGAGCTTCCAGTAGGGAATTCGTAGACTTGAGGCCGAGGGGTAACCTACTGTTAGAACCTATGATGTGCTTAGGAGGTTCAGGAAAAACTGTTTTTTCGAGTAAAATGCTGCTTGTCAAAATTGGAGGCCCTTTGCAGATCCTAGACTAGCGGGATCCTCAGATCAGGCCAAAAGGGCTAACAGAATCCAGATGCGGAAGGAATCCCGGATGAATCAAAGCACGAGACCCATGATGAAGTTTGACAAACCTTTCTCAACGACTTCCCTTTCTTTGCAAGAAGCCCCGCCCACCCCCCTAGATTTTGTCGTGACACGTTAAGGAAGCCATTTTTGATATAGAAGTTGGGAAGTTCATGACTATAGACTGGGGAATGCAGCTGAACAATCGATTTTCACCGCCGGAAGCATCCAACTCGCACTTGCTACCCCTCTCGATTCAAATCTGCATAGATGTCTGAAACACTGCATAATGATGCACTAAACCGAATTCTCGTGCTTCGGGGATCCAATCAGAAAGGCAGCTCATCCCGCCCAAGCCTAAACCCTCAAGTTCAGCCGGCATGGCTTCCCCATGCTGCTGCAGCAGCCCCAGTCGGCTGTCGCGAACCTGCAATCCGCAAAACATGCTCGAGGGTTTAATTGATTAGGGATTTGTTTTGGGATTTGGGTTTGGGCTTTAAGGTCTGGACGATTCGGAGTCTGTCTAGACATCTGGGATTCTGCACATTGCGGAGTGCTCGAAAAGCGTGGGCATGTTTCTAGAAGGATCTAGATTCTGGGCACTGCTGCCAAAGAAGGAGGTTGACTTGAGCGGAATTAGGGGAGTTTTTTTCTTCTTGGAGATCGAGATCCAGTTAACGACTTTCCAACCCCACGCCCCAAGCAAAGTGCAGAGACCCAAATTATAAGCACAGCAACAGCTTTTTTGGAAACGGCCCTAAACCCTCAACTGTGGGGCTAATATGTCTTCCGAAACCTAAGAAAAAATAGGGAAACCTCCGGGCACTAGGCCCCACGACCCTCTTTTACGCTGTTTTCTCAAACACAAGGGCTCACCAGTAAATATACACTGACACCAAAATGATAGGGTCCACGCCCAATCCAAAGCAGGGACAGAGATACACACATTTGAGCTGGGATTGCTGAAAGTAGAGGTCCTCATAAACCCTTTGGGAACTCAGGAACACCTCAAGTGCTATGCTATGAAGGGGTCGCTTTTCAGGAATATGGAGGGTTTAGTTTAATCAGCAGCCTGTGCCAGCTTCGTGGATGTCTCTTCCAACTCCTGAAGAAGCTTCCGCCGGTGCTCCTGCAGTTCAGCCAAACCCTTGCTGAACCGAGAGCTCTTTCCCGCCGCCCCAAACCCTAAATCGGTCTGGCAGACTTTTTGGGGTGTTGGGTCCTTTATCTAGGACCCAACGTAGGGGATTATGAGGGCGTTCTCCGAAGATTATACAGTGGTGATTCACGGCGAGCTTCTCTTGGGTTGCAAATAGGACAACAATTGTATGAAACAGGATCCTCATGGTCCTTATAGCAACCATCCATAGGCATCCAACTCTTGCATAGGGACGTTATAGGGTTTGACGTGAGTACACTGACTTAAGGTCGTATTGAAAAATGCCACGCCCTGATCAAAAGACATAGGGGCTTAACAAGCAACCTGGTAGGTGCATTGCCCCGGGATCTCCAAGGCATGTTGGAGACCTAGCAGCGGTGTTACCTTAGGAATTTCAAGGTGTTTGGACAGGTTTAGAAAGCACTGTAACTAAAACGGTCATGGTACATCTTCACAACTCCTGAACAGCACCACAGCACCACCTGGCTGCAAACAACACCACAACGCAGAAATACCCTCCCTGACAGCGACTTAAGAAAACGGTTCATTCTAAACTGCTGCCGGCTTAAATAAGGGCACGGGGCTGTGCGAGGTTCCGTGTTCGTGTTTGGGAGGGTGGGAACCTTGGTGGTACCTGCGAAAGCCCCTAAGGGGGTCTAGTGCTTAGCATTTAAAACTGTTTCTATGACTTGACTATCCAGAAAACCCAAAACCCTTTGACCAAGGAAATAAGTGAATGATACGAGGACTCTCATGTGTTGTAGGGTATACTTCTTAAATTGGGCTCCCTGCGACCCTTTGTAAAGCAATTACAACTAGCTTTTATAATTGTTCCAAAGTGCCTCCTGAGAACCTGAAGAACTCCAAAGCGCTCAACGCTGGACAAGAAAAATGAAGCTTCAATCGAGGGAACAGCCAGGTTCTACAAGGCAAGTGCAGAATCTACTCCAATGGCCTTACCAGAGGCGCTTGGCATGCTTGAAGAGTGCATGCATCACGGCTCATGAAAGTGTCATCCTAAATCTGGAAGTCTCTGCTACTGTGTTTGGTCTGAGGAAATTTTGGGAGGGCACTTGCCCGATGCCAATGTCTGTAAACCTGACAGCATGAGATTTACGAAGCGCAGTGGCTTGATCTAAGGGTTCCACTTTCGGTGAAAGAAACCCAAAACAATCTAAACTAAAACCCGTTTACTAGTGCCGAGGAATGCCAAAGAGACCCTCAGATCCCAAAGATGCCCAGTGAAGATCGTTTAGGTTTTTGAGCCTTCTTCACCGAACACACGCTTCTGATGACGAAGCTAAACCCTAAACCCTAAGCCCCAAATCCTGGACAAGGCGTATTTCGAAGGAGTCTTGTTATTCTTGTGCTTCTTTCATGAAGCCTGAGTCCAAAACCTTAGCCATCTGAAGCCTAATTGCTAACCTTATAGTTTAAGGATTAGAGTTTAAACCTAGACGATGGTTGCTCGACACGCCCCAGCTCAAAAACGTGAAGCTTCAACAGTTGAGCCCCCAGGCCTATAGGCCCTAAACCGCAAGCCCTGAAACTTCTGTCTTCTCATACGCAGACTATTGTTTCGTAAAAGCTATGTCTACAAGGATAAGGATACCACAATTTTCAGTGCTAGTACTACCCTAAACCCCCAACCGCTATAGCCATCCAATCTGACACCCCACCCCATACTTGAGCCTCCAAGGTACGAATCTCCTCCTCCATCTCAACCTGTTTGTTTGCGTCGGCTTAGGTGGACCCCACCCACCCTGTACTAGTGGTATACTAGGAAATAACAGGACCGTGAGATAATCACCATTAGCCCTTCAAGTCACTATTACTGGGTGGGGGAGTCCTCCTAGCATTCATGGCTCACGAAGTTCAGAGGGGAGCGGATCCTAGAAGTTTTGATTGCAGGGCTAGGGTGTATGGCTTTAGGTCTTAGGGTGTATGGGTTAAGGGTTCAGGTTTCAGTTGATCTTTAAGCTTCCCGCAGTCCAGGTAAGAGGATGACGGCAAAGATGGCAAAAAGCTAGCACGCGTTTTCTCAAAGCATGGGATCCAAATAGCCCAAAAGTAGGCACCATTCACCATGTATGGACTTTTGGGTCCATAAGTTGGAGATATTTATAAACCTTTAGGGCTCAATATGATCTGCAGATCAGGTCTTCAGGGAAGTGGTCCCTTCAGGTTTGGGAGAACATGATAACTTTCCCCCCCGCCAATCACAGTCGCATGCAGAAATATCAGGAAAAAAGGCACATGTCATCTAGCAGCATCTGACAAAGCCACACATTGACATCGTAACTTGGCCAAAGCGTCATAATACTTCCTGACATTTGCGCTGCAATGCACAACTACAAATAACCTTCAACACCTGCAAGGACGACCTGGCGAGAGTCGTTTTCCACCTCCTCCACGGCCTTCATTGGCGCCTGACAACAGTGCGGGGGATGCAAGACATTTAGGGAGTTTATTGCTATGGGTTCATGTCTCAGATATTGCACGCCTATGCGGAAATGGAGGTCAAGCCCAATATGCGATGTGTTTACGATCCTAAACTATTAAACCTAAACCCGCAACCCTGAATCCTAAAACGCTCAAGGATCTGTTGAAGTTCCCTTCTGTACCGCTCGGCAAGCCAGTAGATTCAAGCTCCCTCTGTCTTCCCTGTCCAAACCCTGGACCCATTGGCACTGACTGTTTCTTGATGGTGAACAAGGGAATATTCAGAATGTGAACATATAGACTACATATGGATGATATAAGGACTGTAGAGGAATCATAATCGCATGTTCCCCGCTTAAAAAACAGTTAAACTGTCACCGTGAGAGTCTGGCACGTGACATCAGTTCAAAGCGCTCCCTAACTTTTACAATCACCTTTAGGGTTTATTGTTTAGGGCTTTTCGTGAAAGCCTGACTAAGCCTTTACCAGCTTTCGCCAATACCGTGCTGGGCTTCTGTCTCGGAATCCATACGCCTCAGGGTGAGTTCACAACTATAATACGTCACAGAAGGCTATCTTTTTGATCCGGCTTGGGCATACTGTCTTGAGTCTCAATCTGCGCTCGAGAAACTAGATACAGGATTCAATCCTTCCATAAGCAAATTTTTTACCCCAACGCACTGGAAAGAATTCAGGCCATTGCATTACACTGGTTTGCCGTTAAGGACACTTACTTTTAGCTACCATATTACGGGTATATAGTAAATAATGGAATTTCCTTACTGTAGTAACTTAAAAAAAGTTCCTTAACTGCTATTATTACTTAACTACTTTAATTACTACTATAGTTACTACTGTTGCTATTATTGCTGTTAGGAATATTTTTGCTACGTGTTACTGTTGTTGATGCTACACATCATCCCAAGCCTCGAGGGCAGCATCCTTGTCTTTGAGGATGGCCTGCAGGGCTCTGGGGGGGGGGGTTGTGAGGTTTAGGTTGTTTGTGTGTTTGTTTTATGGGGTGTTTGGGTTCAGGGTTGAGGTCTAAAGTTTTGAAAGCCTTTTCGAGTAAAAAAAGGTTCTTGTTATAGGACAACATATACCTCGCAGCCTTGCAAATTCGTGTTGTATGCATGGTAGGGGATTTCCCATAAACAAGGGGCCCTTGTGTAGATAAGACCTCAGGCCCAACTTCATTTCATGTCTGTTTTTCTTCCCCAGTCGCTTCTTCACTGCTTGTAACTATTCTAGGCCCCTAAACCGCAAAAAGGTTGCACAGAAGACGGTTAAAGGTTCCAAGCAGTTTGGCCCTACAACCACAGGATCCTGAGTATCTATATAGTACAAAACGTACAAAGTAGGGGTTCTATACTAGGAACTGATATGGTTGGGGTAAATATCTATTTTATCAGTACGTAGGATCCTTTGGGACAGGATATCAAGGCCCACCTCACGGCGCTCGTGGGCTTTTGCGGCCCTTTCATCAGCCGCGGCGCTTGTTGCGCCCAGCTGCCTCTGAGCCTGGGTTTAGGCTTTACCCTGAAGCTTTAAGGACTCATAGCTTGAGGCTTTTGAGCCCAAAGGCCCTACCATAAAAGACTTTTGGGCTATTTTGAGCCTTAGGGTTTAGGGTTTAGGTGTCTGGGAAGTTTACAGGTTTCAGCATTTTGGCCATGGAGCGAAATGCCAGCAGCTAGAAGTGATTTGAGGAGTCTACTGGGGGCGTCTGTGCGTGTAGTCTATGCTATTCAAACAGGTTTCACCCCTGTGGCAATATGATTGATGAAGCAGCTACATGCAGGGACTGTAACTGTAAATTACCTTGCAAAAAGCAACCACCAGCCACAAACCACCTTCTAGAACTTTTCGTGACTTGTGTAACCTCCACCTGGCGAAGCGGCCCAAGTTTGACCTAGAACTTTGGTAGGTGGTCTATTTTCTGTTTCCTACAAAGCCTAATACCGTCCATTTCTACCCCAAGGAAGATTACTAAAACGCTACAAAAACAGCCACCCTGTGTTGCCCAGAACCCCTAACCGCTACATGGACCCCAAATCGTGGATAGAAGAATGGCCTAAACCCTGAACCCTCAACAACTCAGAACAAGTGTCAAGCTATGCCTTGCGTACTGCCCCAACCTGCAATAGTCTATATTAGTAGTCATATTATTAAGGGCTATATAAACTACATTATAGACCTTATCCAACTGTTACAGAGTGGGGGCAGTACCCAAGTCTAGAAAATCATAAGCCGTAAACATTAGACTCAAGGTCCAGGTGAACCCCCTATACCCCACGACCATGGCAAAAACCTCTTGGAGACGTTGTTGACGCTCCGCTCGCACCGTCTCACAACGGCGGTTGGCCTTGTTTTTTGGGCTTAGGGTTTCAGGGCTAGGGTTTAGATTTAAATTTAGGGTGTAGGATTTAGGAGTTAGGACTTTACCTGCAAGCTACCCTTCCAGGTTGACACTTCGCCTTTGAGGTTCATGTGGGGCTATCCAGTTATCCCCACTGCAATACTTGGAGGCCCGTTTCATCGTGCGCCTCATCGAGGCCCATGCGAAAGCCGATGTAATGCTTGATGGCCTGGCGCGGGTAGTTTTGCAGGTTTGCAGCCTGGTGGAGTTGAAATAATTGCAACTGGACCTTAAAATTTGATAAACAAATGGCTCAAAAACCGAAAAACAAAAAAAAAAGAAAGAAAAACATGTGCAAGCGGCGATCATTCTACATACTTTGGGGGTCCAGGAGTGTGGGGCACCTAGGGTTTGTTGTGACTCCACCTGCGGAGTTTTGGGGTTTCCGTCGTTTTGCCCAGAGAGCCCAACATACCTTCGGCAAGGAACGTGCTCTACGTGCCAAAAAGATCACCAATATGCTTTAAGGATTATTCCTTGGCTACGTGGATTCCCTGGCTACGTGGTATTGGGCTCCGAGCCCTGAACCATAAACCCTAAATCCTAAACCCCAAACCCTAAATCCTAAAACTTAAACCCTAAATCCTAAGCCCCAAATCCTGAATGCTAAACCCTAAACCCGTATTGGGATCCCTGTGTCACTGTCACTGTTGAATCCAGCCTCTGCAGAGGCACGGCAAGCCTCCTGGCACAACGAGTCCGGGAGTGAGGTCTAACAAAAAAATTAACAGTGATACTGAAATCTGAGGGTTGACCTTAAACATTTTTGGGATAATGTTCGAGTTGTAACACTGCATACGTATATATGCATAATTATACATATATGAGGGGTGGAACCGGACATCATTTGTAGTCATGCAGGCTTCTATATCATTTTCTGCTCCTAGTGACACACCCCCTCGCTCTGCAGCTCATTTCCACTCCCAATGTCCTAAGCATACATTTCGAGCTGTTCAGGGATGTAACTACGTTCCACACTCTTGCTTCGCCAATCAAACATTCTGTAAACACTCCCTGTGCTCTGAACAGCCCACCTGTAACCCAAGTACTCCCAGCTTGGTACTAAATACCCCCGACTAGCAAGCAATTATCCCCTATATGCAGGTATCACACGGTATTTGGGGTTACAGGTATAATCTTGTCTGCCTCGGCCGCCGTGGAGGATGTAGGCCCTGCTGGCGGAGGCACATGAGCTCACTTGCAACCCTTACGCTGTAGCTAATTAAGTCTGAAAGCCATAATACTTACTTGAAGTGTTGGATGTCTGCAGCTTGCAGGCTATACCTACAAGGACCTCCAGGGGTCTCAGGTATATTGGAGTTTCCCAAAATTAGGGGTACCAATTTGGGGGGTCCCGTTAACCAAGGAGTATATGACTGTTGTGTCTGCGCTGGGGTCCCCCTATTGAAGTAAACTACCACATATGAAGGAACTCATTTTTTTCAGAATTCTGGGGTGGGGGTTGCTGATTTTGCCACCTGTATGGTTGCGAGTGTTTGATGCGGACGGGTGCATTGGGCCAAGGCGTTGAAGCTAAAAAGGATGATGGAGGACTAGGGAGCATAATAAGCCAAGAAGGATTCTGTAGAGCTCGTTTTCACAAACGCGCACCTCAGGAGGAAGGTCGTCTAAGAAAGCTTCGGAGGAGTTACCGAACCTCGCCAGAGGAGTCTCTTCTCCCCTAATCAAAGCCCGAGCAAACATGGGGGTCCCCTTAATAAGGAATATATTATAATGGGACCTATAACGGGGTCCCCCTGTTTAGGACAACTACCATACTGGTCCCTTTGAACAACATGCGTAATCCTGATGGGGCATCGTTTGGGGTTCCAATCTGCTTTGGGTCAGGCAACCTCCCACATGTGTTAACTTCCTGTGGGAGCTATGCCGCTTATACTGTCATGCTTGGAATTTCGCTAGCAGCAGGAACAGCGTCTCTGATGAACCAGGTATTGCTGGTGCTCCTCCACTTTTTTCAACACGATTGCCATATGGCAATGTTTATCTTTCAGTGGGCCGTTCGTAGGAAGTCGCCATACCAAGGGGATCATTTCAGCATGGGAACGGTTGGTGCACCCGGTACTTCCCGCAAAGTATCTGAAACAAGCATGTATAAAGACTCAACACAACCAAAAACAACTCCTTCATCCTTTATCTAGCCCCTGCCCTACGGGTCCGGGCACCTAGTCGCTACATGAAACCACTTGGACCCTACTTACACCAGACTTGCCTACCTGAGCCCTCAGGCCTGATTGTAAAGCAGCTCATGAGATCATCGCTGGAGTATGGTCTATTTGGGGGTTTCCCAAAATTAGGGGTACCATTTTGGAGGTCCCTATAATAAGGACTATAGTATTGTGGGGTCTAGATTGGGGTCCCCTTATGTTGGGAAACTACGATTTTCGTGCACCATACAAAGGTCCAAGGACCTCTCTCCCGTCATGAGTTTGTACTGTTCACGCATGAACTAGACACTGCATCTCTCGCCCCCCCCAGTAGACCTGTAGATCATTTCCCCGACAAACACGCGCAAGGGCCCCATGAGCACCTCCTTGCTGCATC